AGTCTTGTAGGTGTTGTTTTGGTCGTCATTAATGAGGTTTGGGACAAAGTAGATGTCATTGTTTTAGAAGGAGGCAGTTGCACTGCCATGGTAAAAGTTTGTTCATGTGGCAGTTGTGTTGGAGTTACTGTTTCCATTGACATTACAGAGTCATTTCTGTTCAAAAACTCTGATACAGGCACAGCTGTTTTTATTTCTGTTAATGTTACATCTTTTGCTGAAATGCTTGGTAAATTTACAGGTGTCACTGTTGAAATTTCTTTAGATGCTACACGCCCCAATGTATTTGATGTGTCTGTAAAACTGACAGAATCAGACACTGTTGATGTTGCTGGTAACATTGCTGTAGAGTGAACTTCATTGGGGATTTCAGAGGAAGAAATTGTAGCTGAACTACTATCAACTGCAGACATAAACATTGTTCTGGAAGTTTCAACTGCTTTGGCAGAGACAGAAACTGTTGCAGGTTCAGTACTAGATGTAGGAGAATGATTTTTCATTGATGATGTTTTTGGTAGCAAAGTAGAAGCTGCAACTGTTGCATATTCAGTTGCACTGAATGCTGAGACTGTAGCAGGCTGAACGACAATTTCCAGGCCCTGGAGTGGTGTAGATTTTTGAAGGTCTACTGTTGATTTGTTAGGATCATTCATAGCAGAAGAACTGGTTAAAAGAGTCTGCTCCAGGGTTTGCAAATGCACAGTTGATGGTTCAGTAGAAGTGGTTGAAGCTTGAAGGTCAATGGGCTTTGTGTACATAGAATCAGATACTTCTGTTACCCTTGTTGAAGTTTGTGTTGGTGTTACTTGTGTTGGGGTCAGTGCTGCATCTGTAGTCATAGGGACTGCTGTGATTGGGAAATCTGGTAACATCGAAAGGTGGGATGTTGAGGATGTTGTTATAGAAACAGAATGTATTGTTTCTTCCATAGTTCTGTGTCCAGCTGCTGTTGATGTCTCTGGTAGAAGTACATTTGCAGCACCTGTTGATATTCCTGGTAAAGCTACAGAATTGTCTGTAGGTAATGTGTTTGTCACAGTGGCTGATGAATGAAATGAAGTGGTTGACAAAGAATCTTCAAATGAGTTATTGTCAGCTGAAGATGTCAGCATGGTAGATCTCATAGTTTCATCTTCTGTCTCAGTAACAGAATGTGTCATTGGTTGAGTGAAAAATTGAGGAACCTGACTTGTAGTGGACAATTCTTCTTTTGTTATTGTATAAATGGCACTTGTTCCCAAACCTTGGTATGAAGTAGAGTGAGTTATAACTGATGGTTTAATATTTTCTTCTGATATTGTTATAGGTTGATTTGCAATTGTTGAATCTGTAATAGTAAAAGTGTAGGTGGGTAAAGATGTTTCCAAAATACTGCCGAATTTGTCATTTGTAAGGTCATTCTGGCTAGCCTGCATCTGTGTGTAGTGTGTAGTGCTGGTGTTGGTGGTGGTGGTGGTAGTCATGCTTAAATCCAAAGTGGTTGAGTAAACATCCACTGTGAAAGGATGATAGAAGCAGTTAGTATTCATTTCTCTGACAGTAATGTAGTAAATTAATACAGCTTCTCATTCTCATAACATTCATTAAAAATGCTTTATCACATCAGAATTTTCATCATTCAAAACTTTAAAACTATTCTTCACAATACAAATTATATCTTCCAAATGCACTGAGAGTTTATATTTATTAATGAAATAAAGTTTTGAACACTCACCAGCAGTAATACTGGACGGAATGATATCCAGGAAAACCTTAGCGTTATTTATTGCTGATTTGAGGGATTCAGTCACGACTGTTATATTTGGAAGAACTGTTTCATTTTTAAAGATTAGCTGAGTGTCCACACCCACTGAACCAGCCCTGCATAGGGAGGAAATTAAGATTTACCAATGATTTATTTAATTATGGAATCAAAAACAATTTTACATACAGCACTCATAAACTACTAATTTTTTTTCACATGAAACTACATGAACTGAAAGCAACTAATAGTTAATACTTGAAAACAGCCAATAAAGTTTGTATTGGATATAATGCTGAAAGATATTTTGAAGAGCACATTCTTATTCCCTTCAGTCTATGACAAAGTAAGTGTAAAGAAAATTCAAATAAACTATGATTAATTATAAACAAAATTATATTTTATGAATTTTAAACTTAAAACATCTTAACATATTAACATCAAACCACATTTCCTTGATGAAGTGGTCATTTTTTTGTATGTATAACAATGCATGTGTTATAAGTGTGTTTTGAGCTTGCAATGGTATATGTCTCATGTCAGTAAATAATGCTGTTAAAATACTTTTGCTTAATTTACATGTTTGTATTTTACACTAAACAATTTAGTCTATACAAAAGAAATTTTAATTTGTATAAGTTAACAGTTTTCTATAAAAGAAGATTATGCTAATTACTCACTGCTAAATCTTGGCTATTAATATTCATATTGTGATGTGATCAAAATCAAAATACTGTACCATAGCCTTAAGACATAGCATCGGAGGAATGTGATAGGAAACATCTCTCTATACCCTCGGTCCAACTATGCATAAAAAGACACAGGTAGTTAAAAAACAAGCACTGAATATTAGAGACTATGGATTCTTCATGTTCAGCAGAGTTAACTTGTCTAACATTCAGAATTTTGCTAGTACCGAAAAATCGGGTGACACTTTACAATACTGTTTCATAGTTAATAAGTAACTAATAAGTAACTAATCAGGAACTAAGCAGGAACGAATGAGTAGTGCTGCATTAACACTGAAGTAACTATTCTTAACTAACAAGGCTACTAGTTAACTACTCAGTAGGTAATACTGAACTAATGATTAGGGTAGTTCACCATTAACTAAACAATAACGACTGAGTCTGATAGGGAATTACTTTGTAACTATGGTTTCTTAGAATAACTATTCATAAATTACCAATCATTTCAACATTAATTGCCCAATAGCTGACTCTGACAAGGTTCCTGCTGAACTACTAACTGATGGAGTGTATTCCAACACTTCTAACAGTAGTGAAATACACTACACAGTGTGCAGTCTCTACAATATAATGGATTATATCCTCCATTTCTATTCACAGAAACAGGTATTCTCAGAGAAGGCTAGGGGCATCACATCACACTGTATTGGCTGGTGTCCCTCATGTGTTTTGTTTTGATCAGAAAGCTTAAAAAGCTAATGCACATCTTCATATTTGGCAGTGTGAACCAATTTGCACATCAGCACACAAATGTGACAACTGCTAAAATACTACAGTATTCCATAGACCAGAATGAGTACATCTCATCTTTAGAAAACACCATTCCTTTCTGCAGGAGCACATGTGCCAGTGTTTCTTCTGAACAGTAGTTCTTCTTTGAAGTCCTCTTGAGGGCAGTGTCAGTTAAAGAGATTGTTCATGGAAATAGGTGAATGTGTTTGTGTCCTGCCTTCAAATTCACTTGTTTCTACATATTACCAAATGACTATGTAATTACTGTCGGTTACATAATAAATGAGGTGTTGCTGTTCTTCGTTAGGAGCTGATGATGATCAGGAACAATATGAAGGAAACAATGTTAACTCATAATTAATGAACTACGAGTTAATCATAATCAGGAACAGTATTATAAAGTGAAACATATGGTAACTCATATTTAATGAACTAGGAGTTAATCATGATCAGGAACAGTATTATAAATTTAACTACATTAGAAATAAAAACCCCTAAATAGATGATGTACTATAGTACAAAAAATATTAATTAAGAAATCTTGAAAAACATGAGTAAATAAGTTATTTATTGAGTCCCTTTTTATTTGTGAACAGTCCAAACGTATCTGAGATAGGTAGATATGGTCTTCTTGTACAATATCTGTTTTACCATGTTGTTTCAGAATTATAAGCACTAACTTTATTAAACCTAAAGCTGCAGCTGATGTTCTGTTATGAGTGCATGCTAGCTAGCTAGTTATTTTAGCTAACATGAGCTACTCTTATAGGCAGTAAAACTTTGTGCCTCAGATATGAAACAGAAAGATGTGTAATTAATGTAGTAGCAGAACATTCTGTGATCAGTCTCAGCTCTCAGATGTTCTCCTTCAGTAGTAATGACAGATTTTGATTTCATTTGGTGTGGATATATTATTTTCAATGATATAGCTAGCTAACTCAGGGATGTTTTCACATTTGGACTGTACACAAATAAAAAGGGACTCAATAAACAACGTATTTACTCTTACGTTTTTCAAGATTTCTTAATTTATTTATTTATTTGTACTACATCATTTATTTTGTTTTTTATTTCTAATGTAGTTCACTTTATAATACTGTTCCTGATCATGATTAACTCCTAGTTCTTTAATAATGAGTTACCATGTGTTTCACTTTATATTGTTCCAGATCATCATTAACTCCTAGTTCATTAATAGTGAGTTACCATGTGTTTCATTTTATACTTTTACTGATCATGATTAACTCCTAGATCATTAATAATGAGTTACTATGTGTTTCACTTTATAATACTTTTCCTGATCATGATTAACTCGTAGTTCATTAATAATGAGTTACCTTTGTTTCATTTTATATTGTTCCTGATCATCATTAGCTCCTAATGAAGAACAGAACACCTCATTCATTATGTAACAGACAGTAATTACATAGTCATTTAGTAATATGTAGAAACAAGTGAATTTGAAGGCAGGACACAAACACATTCAGATGTTTCCATGAGCCCTCTCTTCAACTGACACTGCCATCAAGAGGACTTTAAAGAAGAACTACTGTTCAGAAGAAACACTGGCACATGTGCTCCTGCAGAAAAGAATGGTGTTTTCTTTTGTAAAGATGAGATGTACTCATTCTGGTCTATGGAATACTGTAGTATTTTAGCTCATAAATTACCATTTGTCCCATTTGTAGGCTGATGTGCAAATTGGTTCACACTGCCAAATATGAAGATGTGCATTAGACTTTTAAGATTTCTGATCAAAACAAAACACATGAGGGACATCAGTCAGTACAGTGTGGTGTGATGCCCATAGCCTTCTCTGAGGATACCGGTTTCTGTGAATAGAAATGGAGGATATAATCCATTACATTGTAGAGACTGCACACTGTGTAGTGTATTTCACTACTGTTAGAAGTGTTGAAATACACTCCATCAGTTAGTAGTTCAGCAGGGACCTTGTCAGAGTCAGCTATTGAGCAGTTAATGTTGAAATGATTGGTAATTTATGAGTAGTTATTCTAAGAAACCATAGTTACAAAGTAATTCTTTATGAGACTCAGTAATTATTATTCACTCAATAGTGAAATTCCCTATTCATTAGTTTGCTGTTACCTACTGAGTAGTTAACTAGTAGTCCTTGTTAGTTACTTAAGTGTTAATGCAGCACTACTCATTTGTTCCTGCTTAGTTTATTATTTACTTATAATAGATTATTTACTTATTAACTATGAAACAGTACTGTAAAGTGTTACCGAAAATCATCATATTAGAGTTTCCCAAGATTTCATCATTTGAAAAATCCATGCAAAGATCATAATTCATTGTATGACATTATATAATTACTGAGAGTCACAAAAAACATATTGTAAAAACAAAGGTTGCTGATTTATTACCTCAGCAGTGATGTTGTTGACCAGAGTCTTGTACTCAGTTGAGGAAGGATCAGTGTAAGCAGGGATGAAGACTCGCTGGATGCGGACTTGTAAAATAATAACTGCTTCTCCTGATTTAGCCGGTACCACAATGGCGGTGGTAGCAAGAGTAGAGAAAGAAGAATCGGATATGTTCATTACAGCAAGATCAGTGCTGTCTGGCGTCCTAGTGGTTCTCTGAGTGTGAATTTGTTTCTCAGAGAAAGAAAATGTAGTAGGTTCAATGAAAGATGGAGACTTCCTAGTGGATTTTGCTTCTTCTGTGACTGAAATCTGATATGCAGTAGGCTGAAGCATATCAGATGTGTTATTTGTTTCTGTTATTGATGTAGATTTATTTATAATAGAAGAAGCTCGAACCAATAATGTATCAGTTGATGTTTCAGTTAAAACAGATGAATGGTCTGTTGGAGTAAATAGTCCTGAGACAAAAAGTGTTCTAGGTTCAACAATAGCTGTAGAACTCTGACCTGAGGGTATTGGCGAGCGTGAAACAAACTGCAAAAGAAGATTGAAAAAAATATTCAATTATTTGTGAACTTGAAAAAATTGGTTTCGACGTTAAAAACAAAGTATGATAAAAATCTTACATTAGCGAAACCATGGTGGAGCACATGTAGATCTTCCAAAGTGACGTAAATAGAGTATTTTCCAAAGTTAACATCAAGCCAACTGCTGGTATTCATGGAGCCAGAACCACAAGATGAGTCTTTAACAAAGCGGTGTAAGGAGATGTCAAAAAACAACTCTTCATACTGAAACTGCACAGAAAGATTCAACAGCACATACAACAAAGAATTGGTGCGTGAAGGAACTTACCTGAGCCGTTGACTTGTCCAGAACCCTTCAGGTACTCTACCAGAACACCTGTAATCTCCTGCTTCCTGATCAAAGTGGTTCGCTCAAACACCAGGTCCAGCCCTTCGACACTGTTACGCAAAAGTGAAACACATGTTAGCAAAATTTCGCTCAAACACTGTTTGGTTTGGAAAATTTCAAAAAAATGACACGGAGACCCAATTGTCACATTCATAAAACAACTGCATCAAATGGAAAAAGGTCTCCTGCCAAGAAAAGGCATCCACTCACATCACTTGGTAAACGTCGCAGTCCACCTCTGCTGTTGCGATTGTTAGCATCTCTGCAGTCAGACTGGGGAGCAGCGGGACAAGTTTCCACTGGAACCAGTCGCTCCACTCAGCTCTGGAAAAGCCTGGGAAATGAGCACTGATGACGCTGAATGTCCGATTCATCATGATGTCCCTCACCACAGGATTGATTTCTGGGGCCTTGGAGAAAGGTGAGGGGAAAAAAAGTCAATCACTCTCCGTCCATCCAGTTTTCACAGCTACTTTTCTTACAGGGTTTTCATGTAGACAAATGTTACACTGTTTCTATTTTGACAGTATATCGTGTGTGAAGTATTTGTTGTTACCCGTGAGCTGTTGGCCAGAGCCACCAAGAACTCCTCAACATTCTGCATAGCATCGCCTTGATTCAGACGCTCAAAAACTCTGTTGATCAAATCTGTGTTGTTCAGTGCTCCAGAACGTACGGTGAGATCAGCTGCTTGAGACGGAGTCAAGAGTTCCAGTGATGCAAACTGCAAAAGAAGATTGGGAAGGTTTCATCATTCATCTCTGCGTGACCTTTACCCCACTGGACATGACAGGGAATACCAGGAAGGGTTTTCAGAGTCTTACACTAGAGAAATAATCGTTGAGCGACTTCAGCTCTGCCAGAGTCACATAGACGGAGTATCTGCCAAAGTTGGCCCTAAGCCAGGCCCCGGCGCTGTTGGTGCCAGATCCGCAAGACGAGCCTGCAACAAAGCGGTGAAAGGGGAGGTCGTCAAAGAAAATGACTCCATACTAAGACTGACAAGAAGCACATCAAGATATGACAGCACGTGCGGCAAGGAATTGGTGCGTGAAGGAACTTACCTGAGCCGTTGACTTGTCCAGAACCCTTCAGGTACTCTACCAGAACACCTGTGATCTCCTGCTTCCTGATCAAAGTGGTTCGCTCAAACACCAGGTCCAGCCCTTCGACACTGTTACGCAAAAGTGAAACACATGTTAGCAAAATTTCGCTCAAACACTGTTTGGTTTGGAAAATTTCAAAAAAATGACACGGAGACCCAATTGTCACATTCATAAAACAACTGCATCAAATGGAAAAAGGTCTCCTGCCAAGAAAAGGCATCCACTCACATCACTTGGTAAACGTCGCAGTCCACCTCTGCTGTTGCGATTGTTAGCATCTCTGCAGTCAGACTGGGGAGCAGCGGGACAAGTTTCCACTGGAACCAGTCGCTCCACTCAGCTCTGGAAAAGCCTGGGAAATGAGCACTGATGACGCTGAATGTCCGATTCATCATGATGTCCCTCACCACAGGATTGATTTCTGGGGCCTTGGAGAAAGGTGAGGGGAAAAAAAGTCAATCACTCTCCGTCCATCCAGTTTTCACAGCTACTTTTCTTACAGGGTTTTCATGTAGACAAATGTTACACTGTTTCTATTTTGACAGTATATCGTGTGTGAAGTATTTGTTGTTACCCCTGAGCTGTTGGCCAGAGCCACCAAGAACTCCTCAACATTCTGCATAGCATCGCCTTGATTCAGACGCTCAAAAACTCTGTTGATCAAATCTGTGTTGTTCAGTGCTCCAGAACGTACGGTGAGATCAGCTGCTTGAGACGGAGTCAAGAGTTCCAGTGATGCAAACTGCAAAAGAAGATTGGGAAGGTTTCATCATTCATCTCTGCGTGACCTTTACCCCACTGGACATGACAGGGAATACCAGGAAGGGTTTTCAGAGTCTTACACTAGAGAAATAATCGTTGAGCGACTTCAGCTCTGCCAGAGTCACATAGACGGAGTATCTGCCAAAGTTGGCCCTAAGCCAGGCCCCGGCGCTGTTGGTGCCAGATCCGCAAGACGAGCCTGCAACAAAGCGGTGAAAGGGGAGGTCGTCAAAGAAAATGACTCCATACTAAGACTGACAAGAAGCACATCAAGATATGACAGCACGTGCGGCAAGGAATTGGTGCGTGAAGGAACTTACCTGAGCCGTTGACTTGTCCAGAACCCTTCAGGTACTCTACCAGAACACCTGTGATCTCCTGCTTCCTGATCAAAGTGGTTCGCTCAAACACCAGGTCCAGCCCTTCGACACTGTTACGCAAAAGTGAAACACATGTTAGCAAAATTTCGCTCAAACACTGTTTGGTTTGGAAAATTTCAAAAAAATGACACGGAGACCCAATTGTCACATTCATAAAACAACTGCATCAAATGGAAAAAGGTCTCCTGCCAAGAAAAGGCATCCACTCACATCACTTGGTAAACGTCGCAGTCCACCTCTGCTGTTGCGATTGTTAGCATCTCTGCAGTCAGACTGGGGAGCAGCGGGACAAGTTTCCACTGGAACCAGTCGCTCCACTCAGCTCTGGAAAAGCCTGGGAAATGAGCACTGATGACGCTGAATGTCCGATTCATCATGATGTCCCTCACCACAGGATTGATTTCTGGGGCCTTGGAGAAAGGTGAGGGGAAAAAAAGTCAATCACTCTCCGTCCATCCAGTTTTCACAGCTACTTTTCTTACAGGGTTTTCATGTAGACAAATGTTACACTGTTTCTATTTTGACAGTATATCGTGTGTGAAGTATTTGTTGTTACCCCTGAGCTGTTGGCCAGAGCCACCAAGAACTCCTCAACATTCTGCATAGCATCGCCTTGATTCAGACGCTCAAAAACTCTGTTGATCAAATCTGTGTTGTTCAGTGCTCCAGAACGTACGGTGAGATCAGCTGCTTGAGACGGAGTCAAGAGTTCCAGTGATGCAAACTGCAAAAGAAGATTGGGAAGGTTTCATCATTCATCTCTGCGTGACCTTTACCCCACTGGACATGACAGGGAATACCAGGAAGGGTTTTCAGAGTCTTACACTAGAGAAATAATCGTTGAGCGTCTTCAGCTCTGCCAGAGTCACATAGACGGAGTATCTGCCAAAGTTGGCCCTAAGCCAGGCCCCGGCGCTGTTGGTGCCAGATCCGCAAGACGAGCCTGCAACAAAGCGGTGAAAGGGGAGGTCGTCAAAGAAAATGACTCCATACTAAGACTGACAAGAAGCACATCAAGATATGACAGCACGTGCGGCAAGGAATTGGTGCGTGAAGGAACTTACCTGAGCCGTTGACTTGTCCAGAACCCTTCAGGTACTCTACCAGAACACCTGTGATCTCCTGCTTCCTGATCAAAGTGGTTCGCTCAAACACCAGGTCCAGCCCTTCGACACTGTTACGCAAAAGTGAAACACATGTTAGCAAAATTTCGCTCAAACACTGTTTGGTTTGGAAAATTTCAAAAAAATGACACGGAGACCCAATTGTCACATTCATAAAACAACTGCATCAAATGGAAAAAGGTCTCCTGCCAAGAAAAGGCATCCACTCACATCACTTGGTAAACGTCGCAGTCCACCTCTGCTGTTGCGATTGTTAGCATCTCTGCAGTCAGACTGGGGAGCAGCGGGACAAGTTTCCACTGGAACCAGTCGCTCCACTCAGCTCTGGAAAAGCCTGGGAAATGAGCACTGATGACGCTGAATGTCCGATTCATCATGATGTCCCTCACCACAGGATTGATTTCTGGGGCCTTGGAGAAAGGTGAGGGGAAAAAAAGTCAATCACTCTCCGTCCATCCAGTTTTCACAGCTACTTTTCTTACAGGGTTTTCATGTAGACAAATGTTACACTGTTTCTATTTTGACAGTATATCGTGTGTGAAGTATTTGTTGTTACCCCTGAGCTGTTGGCCAGAGCCACCAAGAACTCCTCAACATTCTGCATAGCATCGCCTTGATTCAGACGCTCAAAAACTCTGTTGATCAAATCTGTGTTGTTCAGTGCTCCAGAACGTACGGTGAGATCAGCTGCTTGAGACGGAGTCAAGAGTTCCAGTGATGCAAACTGCAAAAGAAGATTGGGAAGGTTTCATCATTCATCTCTGCGTGACCTTTACCCCACTGGACATGACAGGGAATACCAGGAAGGGTTTTCAGAGTCTTACACTAGAGAAATAATCGTTGAGCGACTTCAGCTCTGCCAGAGTCACATAGACGGAGTATCTGCCAAAGTTGGCCCTAAGCCAGGCCCCGGCGCTGTTGGTGCCAGATCCGCAAGACGAGCCTGCAACAAAGCGGTGAAAGGGGAGGTCGTCAAAGAAAATGACTCCATACTAAGACTGACAAGAAGCACATCAAGATATGACAGCACGTGCGGCAAGGAATTGGTGCGTGAAGGAACTTACCTGAGCCGTTGACTTGTCCAGAACCCTTCAGGTACTCTACCAGAACACCTGTGATCTCCTGCTTCCTGATCAAAGTGGTTCGCTCAAACACCAGGTCCAGCCCTTCGACACTGTTACGCAAAAGTGAAACACATGTTAGCAAAATTTCGCTCAAACACTGTTTGGTTTGGAAAATTTCAAAAAAATGACACGGAGACCCAATTGTCACATTCATAAAACAACTGCATCAAATGGAAAAAGGTCTCCTGCCAAGAAAAGGCATCCACTCACATCACTTGGTAAACGTCGCAGTCCACCTCTGCTGTTGCGATTGTTAGCATCTCTGCAGTCAGACTGGGGAGCAGCGGGACAAGTTTCCACTGGAACCAGTCGCTCCACTCAGCTCTGGAAAAGCCTGGGAAATGAGCACTGATGACGCTGAATGTCCGATTCATCATGATGTCCCTCACCACAGGATTGATTTCTGGGGCCTTGGAGAAAGGTGAGGGGAAAAAAAGTCAATCACTCTCCGTCCATCCAGTTTTCACAGCTACTTTTCTTACAGGGTTTTCATGTAGACAAATGTTACACTGTTTCTATTTTGACAGTATATCGTGTGTGAAGTATTTGTTGTTACCCCTGAGCTGTTGGCCAGAGCCACCAAGAACTCCTCAACATTCTGCATAGCATCGCCTTGATTCAGACGCTCAAAAACTCTGTTGATCAAATCTGTGTTGTTCAGTGCTCCAGAACGTACGGTGAGATCAGCTGCTTGAGACGGAGTCAAGAGTTCCAGTGATGCAAACTGCAAAAGAAGATTGGGAAGGTTTCATCATTCATCTCTGCGTGACCTTTACCCCACTGGACATGACAGGGAATACCAGGAAGGGTTTTCAGAGTCTTACACTAGAGAAATAATCGTTGAGCGACTTCAGCTCTGCCAGAGTCACATAGACGGAGTATCTGCCAAAGTTGGCCCTAAGCCAGGCCCCGGCGCTGTTGGTGCCAGATCCGCAAGACGAGCCTGCAACAAAGCGGTGAAAGGGGAGGTCGTCAAAGAAAATGACTCCATACTAAGACTGACAAGAAGCACATCAAGATATGACAGCACGTGCGGCAAGGAATTGGTGCGTGAAGGAACTTACCTGAGCCGTTGACTTGTCCAGAACCCTTCAGGTACTCTACCAGAACACCTGTGATCTCCTGCTTCCTGATCAAAGTGGTTCGCTCAAACACCAGGTCCAGCCCTTCGACACTGTTACGCAAAAGTGAAACACATGTTAGCAAAATTTCGCTCAAACACTGTTTGGTTTGGAAAATTTCAAAAAAATGACACGGAGACCCAATTGTCACATTCATAAAACAACTGCATCAAATGGAAAAAGGTCTCCTGCCAAGAAAAGGCATCCACTCACATCACTTGGTAAACGTCGCAGTCCACCTCTGCTGTTGCGATTGTTAGCATCTCTGCAGTCAGACTGGGGAGCAGCGGGACAAGTTTCCACTGGAACCAGTCGCTCCACTCAGCTCTGGAAAAGCCTGGGAAATGAGCACTGATGACGCTGAATGTCCGATTCATCATGATGTCCCTCACCACAGGATTGATTTCTGGGGCCTTGGAGAAAGGTGAGGGGAAAAAAAGTCAATCACTCTCCGTCCATCCAGTTTTCACAGCTACTTTTCTTACAGGGTTTTCATGTAGACAAATGTTACACTGTTTCTATTTTGACAGTATATCGTGTGTGAAGTATTTGTTGTTACCCCTGAGCTGTTGGCCAGAGCCACCAAGAACTCCTCAACATTCTGCATAGCATCGCCTTGATTCAGACGCTCAAAAACTCTGTTGATCAAATCTGTGTTGTTCAGTGCTCCAGAACGTACGGTGAGATCAGCTGCTTGAGACGGAGTCAAGAGTTCCAGTGATGCAAACTGCAAAAGAAGATTGGGAAGGTTTCATCATTCATCTCTGCGTGACCTTTACCCCACTGGACATGACAGGGAATACCAGGAAGGGTTTTCAGAGTCTTACACTAGAGAAATAATCGTTGAGCGTCTTCAGCTCTGCCAGAGTCACATAGACGGAGTATCTGCCAAAGTTGGCCCTAAGCCAGGCCCCGGCGCTGTTGGTGCCAGATCCGCAAGACGAGCCTGCAACAAAGCGGTGAAAGGGGAGGTCGTCAAAGAAAATGACTCCATACTAAGACTGACAAGAAGCACATCAAGATATGACAGCACGTGCGGCAAGGAATTGGTGCGTGAAGGAACTTACCTGAGCCGTTGACTTGTCCAGAACCCTTCAGGTACTCTACCAGAACACCTGTGATCTCCTGCTTCCTGATCAAAGTGGTTCGCTCAAACACCAGGTCCAGCCCTTCGACACTGTTACGCAAAAGTGAAACACATGTTAGCAAAATTTCGCTCAAACACTGTTTGGTTTGGAAAATTTCAAAAAAATGACACGGAGACCCAATTGTCACATTCATAAAACAACTGCATCAAATGGAAAAAGGTCTCCTGCCAAGAAAAGGCATCCACTCACATCACTTGGTAAACGTCGCAGTCCACCTCTGCTGTTGCGATTGTTAGCATCTCTGCAGTCAGACTGGGGAGCAGCGGGACAAGTTTCCACTGGAACCAGTCGCTCCACTCAGCTCTGGAAAAGCCTGGGAAATGAGCACTGATGACGCTGAATGTCCGATTCATCATGATGTCCCTCACCACAGGATTGATTTCTGGGGCCTTGGAGAAAGGTGAGGGGAAAAAAAGTCAATCACTCTCCGTCCATCCAGTTTTCACAGCTACTTTTCTTACAGGGTTTTCATGTAGACAAATGTTACACTGTTTCTATTTTGACAGTATATCGTGTGTGAAGTATTTGTTGTTACCCCTGAGCTGTTGGCCAGAGCCACCAAGAACTCCTCAACATTCTGCATAGCATCGCCTTGATTCAGACGCTCAAAAACTCTGTTGATCAAATCTGTGTTGTTCAGTGCTCCAGAACGTACGGTGAGATCAGCTGCTTGAGACGGAGTCAAGAGTTCCAGTGATGCAAACTGCAAAAGAAGATTGGGAAGGTTTCATCATTCATCTCTGCGTGACCTTTACCCCACTGGACATGACAGGGAATACCAGGAAGGGTTTTCAGAGTCTTACACTAGAGAAATAATCGTTGAGCGACTTCAGCTCTGCCAGAGTCACATAGACGGAGTATCTGCCAAAGTTGGCCCTAAGCCAGGCCCCGGCGCTGTTGGTGCCAGATCCGCAAGACGAGCCTGCAACAAAGCGGTGAAAGGGGAGGTCGTCAAAGAAAATGACTCCATACTAAGACTGACAAGAAGCACATCAAGATATGACAGCACGTGCGGCAAGGAATTGGTGCGTGAAGGAACTTACCTGAGCCGTTGACTTGTCCAGAACCCTTCAGGTACTCTACCAGAACACCTGTGATCTCCTGCTTCCTGATCAAAGTGGTTCGCTCAAACACCAGGTCCAGCCCTTCGACACTGTTACGCAAAAGTGAAACACATGTTAGCAAAATTTCGCTCAAACACTGTTTGGTTTGGAAAATTTCAAAAAAATGACACGGAGACCCAATTGTCACATTCATAAAACAACTGCATCAAATGGAAAAAGGTCTCCTGCCAAGAAAAGGCATCCACTCACATCACTTGGTAAACGTCGCAGTCCACCTCTGCTGTTGCGATTGTTAGCATCTCTGCAGTCAGACTGGGGAGCAGCGGGACAAGTTTCCACTGGAACCAGTCGCTCCACTCAGCTCTGGAAAAGCCTGGGAAATGAGCACTGATGACGCTGAATGTCCGATTCATCATGATGTCCCTCACCACAGGATTGATTTCTGGGGCCTTGGAGAAAGGTGAGGGGAAAAAAAGTCAATCACTCTCCGTCCATCCAGTTTTCACAGCTACTTTTCTTACAGGGTTTTCATGTAGACAAATGTTACACTGTTTCTATTTTGACAGTATATCGTGTGTGAAGTATTTGTTGTTACCCCTGAGCTGTTGGCCAGAGCCACCAAGAACTCCTCAACATTCTGCATAGCATCGCCTTGATTCAGACGCTCAAAAACTCTGTTGATCAAATCTGTGTTGTTCAGTGCTCCAGAACGTACGGTGAGATCAGCTGCTTGAGACGGAGTCAAGAGTTCCAGTGATGCAAACTGCAAAAGAAGATTGGGAAGGTTTCATCATTCATCTCTGCGTGACCTTTACCCCACTGGACATGACAGGGAATACCAGGAAGGGTTTTCAGAGTCTTACACTAGAGAAATAATCGTTGAGCGACTTCAGCTCTGCCAGAGTCACATAGACGGAGTATCTGCCAAAGTTGGCCCTAAGCCAGGCCCCGGCGCTGTTGGTGCCAGATCCGCAAGACGAGCCTGCAACAAAGCGGTGAAAGGGGAGGTCGTCAAAGAAAATGACTCCATACTAAGACTGACAAGAAGCACATCAAGATATGACAGCACGTGCGGCAAGGAATTGGTGCGTGAAGGAACTTACCTGAGCCGTTGACTTGTCCAGAACCCTTCAGGTACTCTACCAGAACACCTGTGATCTCCTGCTTCCTGATCAAAGTGGTTCGCTCAAACACCAGGTCCAGCCCTTCGACACTGTTACGCAAAAGTGAAACACATGTTAGCAAAATTTCGCTCAAACACTGTTTGGTTTGGAAAATTTCAAAAAAATGACACGGAGACCCAATTGTCACATTCATAAAACAACTGCATCAAATGGAAAAAGGTCTCCTGCCAAGAAAAGGCATCCACTCACATCACTTGGTAAACGTCGCAGTCCACCTCTGCTGTTGCGATTGTTAGCATCTCTGCAGTCAGACTGGGGAGCAGCGGGACAAGTTTCCACTGGAACCAGTCGCTCCACTCAGCTCTGGAAAAGCCTGGGAAATGAGCACTGATGACGCTGAATGTCCGATTCATCATGATGTCCCTCACCACAGGATTGATTTCTGGGGCCTTGGAGAAAGGTGAGGGGAAAAAAAGTCAATCACTCTCCGTCCATCCAGTTTTCACAGCTACTTTTCTTACAGGGTTTTCATGTAGACAAATGTTACACTGTTTCTATTTTGACAGTATATCGTGTGTGAAGTATTTGTTGTTACCCCTGAGCTGTTGGCCAGAGCCACCAAGAACTCCTCAACATTCTGCATAGCATCGCCTTGATTCAGACGCTCAAAAACTCTGTTGATCAAATCTGTGTTGTTCAGTGCTCCAGAACGTACGGTGAGATCAGCTGCTTGAGACGGAGTCAAGAGTTCCAGTGATGCAAACTGCAAAAGAAGATTGGGAAGGTTTCATCATTCATCTCTGCGTGACCTTTACCCCACTGGACATGACAGGGAATACCAGGAAGGGTTTTCAGAGTCTTACACTAGAGAAATAATCGTTGAGCGACTTCAGCTCTGCCAGAGTCACATAGACGGAGTATCTGCCAAAGTTGGCCCTAAGCCAGGCCCCGGCGCTGTTGGTGCCAGATCCGCAAGACGAGCCTGCAACAAAGCGGTGAAAGGGGAGGTCGTCAAAGAAAATGACTCCATACTAAGACTGACAAGAAGCACATCAAGATATGACAGCACGTGCGGCAAGGAATTGGTGCGTGAAGGAACTTACCTGAGCCGTTGACTTGTCCAGAACCCTTCAGGTACTCTACCAGAACACCTGTGATCTCCTGCTTCCTGATCAAAGTGGTTCGCTCAAACACCAGGTCCAGCCCTTCGACACTGTTACGCAAAAGTGAAACACATGTTAGCAAAATTTCGCTCAAACACTGTTTGGTTTGGAAAATTTCAAAAAAATGACACGGAGACCCAATTGTCACATTCATAAAACAACTGCATCAAATGGAAAAAGGTCTCCTGCCAAGAAAAGGCATCCACTCACATCACTTGGTAAACGTCGCAGTCCACCTCTGCTGTTGCGATTGTTAGCATCTCTGCAGTCAGACTGGGGAGCAGCGGGACAAGTTTCCACTGGAACCAGTCGCTCCACTCAGCTCTGGAAAAGCCTGGGAAATGAGCACTGATGACGCTGAATGTCCGATTCATCATGATGTCCCTCACCACAGGATTGATTTCTGGGGCCTTGGAGAAAGGTGAGGGGAAAAAAAGTCAATCACTCTCCGTCCATCCAGTTTTCACAGCTACTTTTCTTACAGGGTTTTCATGTAGACAAATGTTACACTGTTTCTATTTTGACAGTATATCGTGTGTGAAGTATTTGTTGTTACCCCTGAGCTGTTGGCCAGAGCCACCAAGAACTCCTCAACATTCTGCATAGCATCGCCTTGATTCAGACGCTCAAAAACTCTGTTGATCAAATCTGTGTTGTTCAGTGCTCCAGAACGTACGGTGAGATCAGCTGCTTGAGACGGAGTCAAGAGTTCCAGTGATGCAAACTGCAAAAGAAGATTGGGAAGGTTTCATCATTCATCTCTGCGTGACCTTTACCCCACTGGACATGACAGGGAATACCAGGAAGGGTTTTCAGAGTCTTACACTAGAGAAATAATCGTTGAGCGTCTTCAGCTCTGCCAGAGTCACATAGACGGAGTATCTGCCAAAGTTGGCCCTAAGCCAGGCCCCGGCGCTGTTGGTGCCAGATCCGCAAGACGAGCCTGCAACAAAGCGGTGAAAGGGGAGGTCGTCAAAGAAAATGACTCCATACTAAGACTGACAAGAAGCACATCAAGATATGACAGCACGTGCGGCAAGGAATTGGTGCGTGAAGGAACTTACCTGAGCCGTTGACTTGTCCAGAACCCTTCAGGTACTCTACCAGAACACCTGTGATCTCCTGCTTCCTGATCAAAGTGGTTCGCTCAAACACCAGGTCCAGCCCTTCGACACTGTTACGCAAAAGTGAAACACATGTTAGCAAAATTTCGCTCAAACACTGTTTGGTTTGGAAAATTTCAAAAAAATGACACGGAGACCCAATTGTCACATTCATAAAACAACTGCATCAAATGGAAAAAGGTCTCCTGCCAAGAAAAGGCATCCACTCACATCACTTGGTAAACGTCGCAGTCCACCTCTGCTGTTGCGATTGTTAGCATCTCTGCAGTCAGACTGGGGAGCAGCGGGACAAGTTTCCACTGGAACCAGTCGCTCCACTCAGCTCTGGAAAAGCCTGGGAAATGAGCACTGATGACGCTGAATGTCCGATTCATCATGATGTCCCTCACCACAGGATTGATTTCTGGGGCCTTGGAGAAAGGTGAGGGGAAAAAAAGTCAATCACTCTCCGTCCATCCAGTTTTCACAGCTACTTTTCTTACAGGGTTTTCATGTAGACAAATGTTACACTGTTTCTATTTTGACAGTATATCGTGTGTGAAGTATTTGTTGTTACCCCTGAGCTGTTGGCCAGAGCCACCAAGAACTCCTCAACATTCTGCATAGCATCGCCTTGATTCAGACGCTCAAAAACTCTGTTGATCAAATCTGTGTTGTTCAGTGCTCCAGAACGTACGGTGAGATCAGCTGCTTGAGACGGAGTCAAGAGTTCCAGTGATGCAAACTGCAAAAGAAGATTGGGAAGGTTTCATCATTCATCTCTGCGTGACCTTTACCCCACTGGACATGACAGGGAATACCAGGAAGGGTTTTCAGAGTCTTACACTAGAGAAATAATCGTTGAGCGTCTTCAGCTCTGCCAGAGTCACATAGACGGAGTATCTGCCAAAGTTGGCCCTAAGCCAGGCCCCGGCGCTGTTGGTGCCAGATCCGCAAGACGAGCCTGCAACAAAGCGGTGAAAGGGGAGGTCGTCAAAGAAAATGACTCCATACTAAGACTGACAAGAAGCACATCAAGATATGACAGCACGTGCGGCAAGGAATTGGTGCGTGAAGGAACTTACCTGAGCCGTTGACTTGTCCAGAACCCTTCAGGTACTCTACCAGAACACCTGTGATCTCCTGCTTCCTGATCAAAGTGGTTCGCTCAAACACCAGGTCCAGCCCTTCGACACTGTTACGCAAAAGTGAAACACATGTTAGCAAAATTTCGCTCAAACACTGTTTGGTTTGGAAAATTTCAAAAAAATGACACGGAGACCCAATTGTCACATTCATAAAACAACTGCATCAAATGGAAAAAGGTCTCCTGCCAAGAAAAGGCATCCACTCACATCACTTGGTAAACGTCGCAGTCCACCTCTGCTGTTGCGATTGTTAGCATCTCTGCAGTCAGACTGGGGAGCAGCGGGACAAGTTTCCACTGGAACCAGTCGCTCCACTCAGCTCTGGAAAAGCCTGGGAAATGAGCACTGATGACGCTGAATGTCCGATTCATCATGATGTCCCTCACCACAGGATTGATTTCTGGGGCCTTGGAGAAAGGTGAGGGGAAAAAAAGTCAATCACTCTCCGTCCATCCAGTTTTCACAGCTACTTTTCTTACAGGGTTTTCATGTAGACAAATGTTACACTGTTTCTATTTTGACAGTATATCGTGTGTGAAGTATTTGTTGTTACCCCTGAGCTGTTGGCCAGAGCCACCAAGAACTCCTCAACATTCTGCATAGCATCGCCTTGATTCAGACGCTCAAAAACTCTGTTGATCAAATCTGTGTTGTTCAGTGCTCCAGAACGTACGGTGAGATCAGCTGCTTGAGACGGAGTCAAGAGTTCCAGTGATGCAAACTGCAAAAGAAGATTGGGAAGGTTTCATCATTCATCTCTGCGTGACCTTTACCCCACTGGACATGACAGGGAATACCAGGAAGGGTTTTCAGAGTCTTACACTAGAGAAATAATCGTTGAGCGACTTCAGCTCTGCCAGAGTCACATAGACGGAGTATCTGCCAAAGTTGGCCCTAAGCCAGGCCCCGGCGCTGTTGGTGCCAGATCCGCAAGACGAGCCTGCAACAAAGCGGTGAAAGGGGAGGTCGTCAAAGAAAATGACTCCATACTAAGACTGACAAGAAGCACATCAAGATATGACAGCACGTGCGGCAAGGAATTGGTGCGTGAAGGAACTTACCTGAGCCGTTGACTTGTCCAGAACCCTTCAGGTACTCTACCAGAACACCTGTGATCTCCTGCTTCCTGATCAAAGTGGTTCGCTCAAACACCAGGTCCAGCCCTTCGACACTGTTACGCAAAAGTGAAACACATGTTAGCAAAATTTCGCTCAAACACTGTTTGGTTTGGAAAATTTCAAAAAAATGACACGGAGACCCAATTGTCACATTCATAAAACAACTGCATCAAATGGAAAAAGGTCTCCTGCCAAGAAAAGGCATCCACTCACATCACTTGGTAAACGTCGCAGTCCACCTCTGCTGTTGCGATTGTTAGCATCTCTGCAGTCAGACTGGGGAGCAGCGGGACAAGTTTCCACTGGAACCAGTCGCTCCACTCAGCTCTGGAAAAGCCTGGGAAATGAGCACTGATGACGCTGAATGTCCGATTCATCATGATGTCCCTCACCACAGGATTGATTTCTGGGGCCTTGGAGAAAGGTGAGGGGAAAAAAAGTCAATCACTCTCCGTCCATCCAGTTTTCACAGCTACTTTTCTTACAGGGTTTTCATGTAGACAAATGTTACACTGTTTCTATTTTGACAGTATATCGTGTGTGAAGTATTTGTTGTTACCCCTGAGCTGTTGGCCAGAGCCACCAAGAACTCCTCAACATTCTGCATAGCATCGCCTTGATTCAGACGCTCAAAAACTCTGTTGATCAAATCTGTGTTGTTCAGTGCTCCAGAACGTACGGTGAGATCAGCTGCTTGAGACGGAGTCAAGAGTTCCAGTGATGCAAACTGCAAAAGAAGATTGGGAAGGTTTCATCATTCATCTCTGCGTGACCTTTACCCCACTGGACATGACAGGGAATACCAGGAAGGGTTTTCAGAGTCTTACACTAGAGAAATAATCGTTGAGCGACTTCAGCTCTGCCAGAGTCACATAGACGGAGTATCTGCCAAAGTTGGCCCTAAGCCAGGCCCCGGCGCTGTTGGTGCCAGATCCGCAAGACGAGCCTGCAACAAAGCGGTGAAAGGGGAGGTCGTCAAAGAAAATGACTCCATACTAAGACTGACAAGAAGCACATCAAGATATGACAGCACGTGCGGCAAGGAATTGGTGCGTGAAGGAACTTACCTGAGCCGTTGACTTGTCCAGAACCCTTCAGGTACTCTACCAGAACACCTGTGATCTCCTGCTTCCTGATCAAAGTGGTTCGCTCAAACACCAGGTCCAGCCCTTCGACACTGTTACGCAAAAGTGAAACACATGTTAGCAAAATTTCGCTCAAACACTGTTTGGTTTGGAAAATTTCAAAAAAATGACACGGAGACCCAATTGTCACATTCATAAAACAACTGCATCAAATGGAAAAAGGTCTCCTGCCAAGAAAAGGCATCCACTCACATCACTTGGTAAACGTCGCAGTCCACCTCTGCTGTTGCGATTGTTAGCATCTCTGCAGTCAGACTGGGGAGCAGCGGGACAAGTTTCCACTGGAACCAGTCGCTCCACTCAGCTCTGGAAAAGCCTGGGAAATGAGCACTGATGACGCTGAATGTCCGATTCATCATGATGTCCCTCACCACAGGATTGATTTCTGGGGCCTTGGAGAAAGGTGAGGGGAAAAAAAGTCAATCACTCTCCGTCCATCCAGTTTTCACAGCTACTTTTCTTACAGGGTTTTCATGTAGACAAATGTTACACTGTTTCTATTTTGACAGTATATCGTGTGTGAAGTATTTGTTGTTACCCCTGAGCTGTTGGCCAGAGCCACCAAGAACTCCTCAACATTCTGCATAGCATCGCCTTGATTCAGACGCTCAAAAACTCTGTTGATCAAATCTGTGTTGTTCAGTGCTCCAGAACGTACGGTGAGATCAGCTGCTTGAGACGGAGTCAAGAGTTCCAGTGATGCAAACTGCAAAAGAAGATTGGGAAGGTTTCATCATTCATCTCTGCGTGACCTTTACCCCACTGGACATGACAGGGAATACCAGGAAGGGTTTTCAGAGTCTTACACTAGAGAAATAATCGTTGAGCGTCTTCAGCTCTGCCAGAGTCACATAGACGGAGTATCTGCCAAAGTTGGCCCTAAGCCAGGCCCCGGCGCTGTTGGTGCCAGATCCGCAAGACGAGCCTGCAACAAAGCGGTGAAAGGGGAGGTCGTCAAAGAAAATGACTCCATACTAAGACTGACAAGAAGCACATCAAGATATGACAGCACGTGCGGCAAGGAATTGGTGCGTGAAGGAACTTACCTGAGCCGTTGACTTGTCCAGAACCCTTCAGGTACTCTACCAGAACACCTGTGATCTCCTGCTTCCTGATCAAAGTGGTTCGCTCAAACACCAGGTCCAGCCCTTCGACACTGTTACGCAAAAGTGAAACACATGTTAGCAAAATTTCGCTCAAACACTGTTTGGTTTGGAAAATTTCAAAAAAATGACACGGAGACCCAATTGTCACATTCATAAAACAACTGCATCAAATGGAAAAAGGTCTCCTGCCAAGAAAAGGCATCCACTCACATCACTTGGTAAACGTCGCAGTCCACCTCTGCTGTTGCGATTGTTAGCATCTCTGCAGTCAGACTGGGGAGCAGCGGGACAAGTTTCCACTGGAACCAGTCGCTCCACTCAGCTCTGGAAAAGCCTGGGAAATGAGCACTGATGACGCTGAATGTCCGATTCATCATGATGTCCCTCACCACAGGATTGATTTCTGGGGCCTTGGAGAAAGGTGAGGGGAAAAAAAGTCAATCACTCTCCGTCCATCCAGTTTTCACAGCTACTTTTCTTACAGGGTTTTCATGTAGACAAATGTTACACTGTTTCTATTTTGACAGTATATCGTGTGTGAAGTATTTGTTGTTACCCCTGAGCTGTTGGCCAGAGCCACCAAGAACTCCTCAACATTCTGCATAGCATCGCCTTGATTCAGACGCTCAAAAACTCTGTTGATCAAATCTGTGTTGTTCAGTGCTCCAGAACGTACGGTGAGATCAGCTGCTTGAGACGGAGTCAAGAGTTCCAGTGATGCAAACTGCAAAAGAAGATTGGGAAGGTTTCATCATTCATCTCTGCGTGACCTTTACCCCACTGGACATGACAGGGAATACCAGGAAGGGTTTTCAGAGTCTTACACTAGAGAAATAATCGTTGAGCGACTTCAGCTCTGCCAGAGTCACATAGACGGAGTATCTGCCAAAGTTGGCCCTAAGCCAGGCCCCGGCGCTGTTGGTGCCAGATCCGCAAGACGAGCCTGCAACAAAGCGGTGAAAGGGGAGGTCGTCAAAGAAAATGACTCCATACTAAGACTGACAAGAAGCACATCAAGATATGACAGCACGTGCGGCAAGGAATTGGTGCGTGAAGGAACTTACCTGAGCCGTTGACTTGTCCAGAACCCTTCAGGTACTCTACCAGAACACCTGTGATCTCCTGCTTCCTGATCAAAGTGGTTCGCTCAAACACCAGGTCCAGCCCTTCGACACTGTTACGCAAAAGTGAAACACATGTTAGCAAAATTTCGCTCAAACACTGTTTGGTTTGGAAAATTTCAAAAAAATGACACGGAGACCCAATTGTCACATTCATAAAACAACTGCATCAAATGGAAAAAGGTCTCCTGCCAAGAAAAGGCATCCACTCACATCACTTGGTAAACGTCGCAGTCCACCTCTGCTGTTGCGATTGTTAGCATCTCTGCAGTCAGACTGGGGAGCAGCGGGACAAGTTTCCACTGGAACCAGTCGCTCCACTCAGCTCTGGAAAAGCCTGGGAAATGAGCACTGATGACGCTGAATGTCCGATTCATCATGATGTCCCTCACCACAGGATTGATTTCTGGGGCCTTGGAGAAAGGTGAGGGGAAAAAAAGTCAATCACTCTCCGTCCATCCAGTTTTCACAGCTACTTTTCTTACAGGGTTTTCATGTAGACAAATGTTACACTGTTTCTATTTTGACAGTATATCGTGTGTGAAGTATTTGTTGTTACCCCTGAGCTGTTGGCCAGAGCCACCAAGAACTCCTCAACATTCTGCATAGCATCGCCTTGATTCAGACGCTCAAAAACTCTGTTGATCAAATCTGTGTTGTTCAGTGCTCCAGAACGTACGGTGAGATCAGCTGCTTGAGACGGAGTCAAGAGTTCCAGTGATGCAAACTGCAAAAGAAGATTGGGAAGGTTTCATCATTCATCTCTGCGTGACCTTTACCCCACTGGACATGACAGGGAATACCAGGAAGGGTTTTCAGAGTCTTACACTAGAGAAATAATCGTTGAGCGACTTCAGCTCTGCCAGAGTCACATAGACGGAGTATCTGCCAAAGTTGGCCCTAAGCCAGGCCCCGGCGCTGTTGGTGCCAGATCCGCAAGACGAGCCTGCAACAAAGCGGTGAAAGGGGAGGTCGTCAAAGAAAATGACTCCATACTAAGACTGACAAGAAGCACATCAAGATATGACAGCACGTGCGGCAAGGAATTGGTGCGTGAAGGAACTTACCTGAGCCGTTGACTTGTCCAGAACCCTTCAGGTACTCTACCAGAACACCTGTGATCTCCTGCTTCCTGATCAAAGTGGTTCGCTCAAACACCAGGTCCAGCCCTTCGACACTGTTACGCAAAAGTGAAACACATGTTAGCAAAATTTCGCTCAAACACTGTTTGGTTTGGAAAATTTCAAAAAAATGACACGGAGACCCAATTGTCACATTCATAAAACAACTGCATCAAATGGAAAAAGGTCTCCTGCCAAGAAAAGGCATCCACTCACATCACTTGGTAAACGTCGCAGTCCACCTCTGCTGTTGCGATTGTTAGCATCTCTGCAGTCAGACTGGGGAGCAGCGGGACAAGTTTCCACTGGAACCAGTCGCTCCACTCAGCTCTGGAAAAGCCTGGGAAATGAGCACTGATGACGCTGAATGTCCGATTCATCATGATGTCCCTCACCACAGGATTGATTTCTGGGGCCTTGGAGAAAGGTGAGGGGAAAAAAAGTCAATCACTCTCCGTCCATCCAGTTTTCACAGCTACTTTTCTTACAGGGTTTTCATGTAGACAAATGTTACACTGTTTCTATTTTGACAGTATATCGTGTGTGAAGTATTTGTTGTTACCCCTGAGCTGTTGGCCAGAGCCACCAAGAACTCCTCAACATTCTGCATAGCATCGCCTTGATTCAGACGCTCAAAAACTCTGTTGATCAAATCTGTGTTGTTCAGTGCTCCAGAACGTACGGTGAGATCAGCTGCTTGAGACGGAGTCAAGAGTTCCAGTGATGCAAACTGCAAAAGAAGATTGGGAAGGTTTCATCATTCATCTCTGCGTGACCTTTACCCCACTGGACATGACAGGGAATACCAGGAAGGGTTTTCAGAGTCTTACACTAGAGAAATAATCGTTGAGCGACTTCAGCTCTGCCAGAGTCACATAGACGGAGTATCTGCCAAAGTTGGCCCTAAGCCAGGCCCCGGCGCTGTTGGTGCCAGATCCGCAAGACGAGCCTGCAACAAAGCGGTGAAAGGGGAGGTCGTCAAAGAAAATGACTCCATACTAAGACTGACAAGAAGCACATCAAGATATGACAGCACGTGCGGCAAGGAATTGGTGCGTGAAGGAACTTACCTGAGCCGTTGACTTGTCCAGAACCCTTCAGGTACTCTACCAGAACACCTGTGATCTCCTGCTTCCTGATCAAAGTGGTTCGCTCAAACACCAGGTCCAGCCCTTCGACACTGTTACGCAAAAGTGAAACACATGTTAGCAAAATTTCGCTCAAACACTGTTTGGTTTGGAAAATTTCAAAAAAATGACACGGAGACCCAATTGTCACATTCATAAAACAACTGCATCAAATGGAAAAAGGTCTCCTGCCAAGAAAAGGCATCCACTCACATCACTTGGTAAACGTCGCAGTCCACCTCTGCTGTTGCGATTGTTAGCATCTCTGCAGTCAGACTGGGGAGCAGCGGGACAAGTTTCCACTGGAACCAGTCGCTCCACTCAGCTCTGGAAAAGCCTGGGAAATGAGCACTGATGACGCTGAATGTCCGATTCATCATGATGTCCCTCACCACAGGATTGATTTCTGGGGCCTTGGAGAAAGGTGAGGGGAAAAAAAGTCAATCACTCTCCGTCCATCCAGTTTTCACAGCTACTTTTCTTACAGGGTTTTCATGTAGACAAATGTTACACTGTTTCTATTTTGACAGTATATCGTGTGTGAAGTATTTGTTGTTACCCCTGAGCTGTTGGCCAGAGCCACCAAGAACTCCTCAACATTCTGCATAGCATCGCCTTGATTCAGACGCTCAAAAACTCTGTTGATCAAATCTGTGTTGTTCAGTGCTCCAGAACGTACGGTGAGATCAGCTGCTTGAGACGGAGTCAAGAGTTCCAGTGATGCAAACTGCAAAAGAAGATTGGGAAGGTTTCATCATTCATCTCTGCGTGACCTTTACCCCACTGGACATGACAGGGAATACCAGGAAGGGTTTTCAGAGTCTTACACTAGAGAAATAATCGTTGAGCGTCTTCAGCTCTGCCAGAGTCACATAGACGGAGTATCTGCCAAAGTTGGCCCTAAGCCAGGCCCCGGCGCTGTTGGTGCCAGATCCGCAAGACGAGCCTGCAACAAAGCGGTGAAAGGGGAGGTCGTCAAAGAAAATGACTCCATACTAAGACTGACAAGAAGCACATCAAGATATGACAGCACGTGCGGCAAGGAATTGGTGCGTGAAGGAACTTACCTGAGCCGTTGACTTGTCCAGAACCCTTCAGGTACTCTACCAGAACACCTGTGATCTCCTGCTTCCTGATCAAAGTGGTTCGCTCAAACACCAGGTCCAGCCCTTCGACACTGTTACGCAAAAGTGAAACACATGTTAGCAAAATTTCGCTCAAACACTGTTTGGTTTGGAAAATTTCAAAAAAATGACACGGAGACCCAATTGTCACATTCATAAAACAACTGCATCAAATGGAAAAAGGTCTCCTGCCAAGAAAAGGCATCCACTCACATCACTTGGTAAACGTCGCAGTCCACCTCTGCTGTTGCGATTGTTAGCATCTCTGCAGTCAGACTGGGGAGCAGCGGGACAAGTTTCCACTGGAACCAGTCGCTCCACTCAGCTCTGGAAAAGCCTGGGAAATGAGCACTGATGACGCTGAATGTCCGATTCATCATGATGTCCCTCACCACAGGATTGATTTCTGGGGCCTTGGAGAAAGGTGAGGGGAAAAAAAGTCAATCACTCTCCGTCCATCCAGTTTTCACAGCTACTTTTCTTACAGGGTTTTCATGTAGACAAATGTTACACTGTTTCTATTTTGACAGTATATCGTGTGTGAAGTATTTGTTGTTACCCCTGAGCTGTTGGCCAGAGCCACCAAGAACTCCTCAACATTCTGCATAGCATCGCCTTGATTCAGACGCTCAAAAACTCTGTTGATCAAATCTGTGTTGTTCAGTGCTCCAGAACGTACGGTGAGATCAGCTGCTTGAGACGGAGTCAAGAGTTCCAGTGATGCAAACTGCAAAAGAAGATTGGGAAGGTTTCATCATTCATCTCTGCGTGACCTTTACCCCACTGGACATGACAGGGAATACCAGGAAGGGTTTTCAGAGTCTTACACTAGAGAAATAATCGTTGAGCGACTTCAGCTCTGCCAGAGTCACATAGACGGAGTATCTGCCAAAGTTGGCCCTAAGCCAGGCCCCGGCGCTGTTGGTGCCAGATCCGCAAGACGAGCCTGCAACAAAGCGGTGAAAGGGGAGGTCGTCAAAGAAAATGACTCCATACTAAGACTGACAAGAAGCACATCAAGATATGACAGCACGTGCGGCAAGGAATTGGTGCGTGAAGGAACTTACCTGAGCCGTTGACTTGTCCAGAACCCTTCAGGTACTCTACCAGAACACCTGTGATCTCCTGCTTCCTGATCAAAGTGGTTCGCTCAAACACCAGGTCCAGCCCTTCGACACTGTTACGCAAAAGTGAAACACATGTTAGCAAAATTTCGCTCAAACACTGTTTGGTTTGGAAAATTTCAAAAAAATGACACGGAGACCCAATTGTCACATTCATAAAACAACTGCATCAAATGGAAAAAGGTCTCCTGCCAAGAAAAGGCATCCACTCACATCACTTGGTAAACGTCGCAGTCCACCTCTGCTGTTGCGATTGTTAGCATCTCTGCAGTCAGACTGGGGAGCAGCGGGACAAGTTTCCACTGGAACCAGTCGCTCCACTCAGCTCTGGAAAAGCCTGGGAAATGAGCACTGATGACGCTGAATGTCCGATTCATCATGATGTCCCTCACCACAGGATTGATTTCTGGGGCCTTGGAGAAAGGTGAGGGGAAAAAAAGTCAATCACTCTCCGTCCATCCAGTTTTCACAGCTACTTTTCTTACAGGGTTTTCATGTAGACAAATGTTACACTGTTTCTATTTTGACAGTATATCGTGTGTGAAGTATTTGTTGTTACCCCTGAGCTGTTGGCCAGAGCCACCAAGAACTCCTCAACATTCTGCATAGCATCGCCTTGATTCAGACGCTCAAAAACTCTGTTGATCAAATCTGTGTTGTTCAGTGCTCCAGAACGTACGGTGAGATCAATTATTTGGGTCGGATTTAGGAGTCTCAGTTCTTCATCCTTTTTTTTTGATGTTGTAATAAAAAAATCAATCATGTCATTATTTTTGTATCACACTTGATTTTTCTTTGCTTTTTTATTTTTAATGGTAATTTTGCAGTATGTGTACCTGCTTATTCTTTTCAAAGAATATTCCAAAGTTCTTCTCCAACCATTCTTTGATGTCTTTGATGTTTAAAACACACCCTGGATCTGACAGCAAAGAAAAAGTTATTTGATTATCTGCCTGACATTTGCTGATCCTAGCTATCCTGTATTTTACCTAGTCTTGTTCTTTTTTTCCATTTTATAATTTTTGTTTTTAAGTTCATGTCTGTCT